ACCCGCCCCTGCGGGGTATGCTCGTCGAAAGCAAGTTGCAGGACATCAGCTTCAACACAATCTTGCACAATAGCCACTTGCAAATTTGCCCATGTGTGTGCTGTGCGAGGATGTAGACCTGCCGAAGGAGAAGGCCGTGGAGCAGGTCTCTAGTTCCAGCTCTTTGTCTTGGATCAGCTTTTGGGTACTTACTTCTAAGAGCAGGTCAGATACTGCATTACGCACATGCCACTTCGATATACGCTGTAGCAACGCATCTTCGCTGCAGCGTGCACTGGGCACCGCTTAGCGGTCTCGAACACGCCCTTCATGGCACTGCACTGTCAAGACCTGCAGTCAGGCACACTGGCTCGTTTCGTCTTCGCGCACATGCGCCGCTAATGCACTGCAAAGAGCGTTGGCATTGGAGGTTGCCATTCGCCATCTCTGGGCCTCACGAGCCCGAGATAGATCGCCGCGGGCAATGCAGAGGCCGCGGAGGTAAAGGGCTCGGCTGCTCGGCTGATCTGCGAAATCTCCTAACACAGCACCATGTCGAGGATAAATAAAGCCCAGCTATCCTTTTCAAGTCTGGGATAGACGCGGTGGCGAAGTTCTCGGCTAGCTTCACTAGCGAAGGCGATCTGGAGGCGGTCCTGGCTAAAGATTTCTCGATAGACCCGGAAGTTAGCCTCGCAAAAGGCGGCAAGCGAGCTAAGGGAGTCGGCTAAGCCCATCCCTCAGACAGATTACATGGCTATGCGGGCGGCGCTTGCCTCGAAATTTGGAGAGCCTGAGGATAAGCATATCGAGCGCAAGTTTCGTGCCGCGCCGCTCGTTCGGTGTTCTCCCGCGACGAGATAGCAGATAGATCCAGCGACTCTCGTGCCGCAGTGGGATAGCAAGGGAACAGTTGTTCTCAAGAAGGCTACCTCCGAGGGGGCTCTGCCAGCCAATCCGGACCGGCTCAGGCTAAGTTTAAGGCAGTTTAAGGCTGACGGTGATGCAAAACGCTCTCCTCATGATAGGGCGACACCACCCAGGCCGGATAGAGCTCAAGGATACAACTCAGCAGAGCTATTCGAGAAGTATAAAGATTACTGTCTGGGTGATTACTGCTGCGGGCTTAAGACCCAACGAGGCTAGTGGCTCGTTGGCGCCCCCGTGACACTGGTTTTGAGCTACGCAGCTACGAGAACGCTGTCCGGAAGCAGGCCTACAAATGGATGGCTACGAAAGGGCTGGTTTCTCCAATGCGCAAGTTCAGGCCTGGAAAGACGGCCGCTACGCCGCTATCCCTTTGTGCTAAGCGCCCACAGTCCTGGCGAACGGATACGCCACACCGCCCGGATAGCAAGGGCACTGGCAATGTGGCAAATGGCGAGGCGGCAAGGGCCAAAGCGGGATAGCGGCAACAATGATCATGAGCCAGGCTATTCTCGACAGCGGAGAACGAGCCGATTTGCTACAGGTACAACGCTAAGGGCAGGGGCGAGAAAGGGGATAAATGCCACCGAAGTGCCTGGGAGATCACCCGGCTACAAAGTGCACGCAGACGGCTAGCTCGGAGGAGATTGGGGCTAGCTGACAGCGGCCGCAATCGCATGAGCCCAGGCCCACGGCTAGACTATGTGCTCTTTGTCTCTTTGCCGGCAAGATAGAGCTACCACGGTCCAGGGTTACCTCAAGAAGCTGGCGGCTCAGATACAGGTAACATCGGTGGATAGACTCCGAGGATCGACTTGGCGAAGTCCGGGATATGTCAACAATAAATGGACATGATTGCAGCAGGTTATTTTGACACAATTTTCATGTCTCCTCCGTGTGCTACTTTCTCCATGGCGACTTGGGCTAACTTCTCTGGCCCCGACCGGTGAGAAGCTTCCTGCAGCCACAGGGGCGAGAGGTTCTCACGGCTAAGGAACGATACAGAGCGATAATTGTCAACATTTTCGCTGATTTTGTCAGCGCGGTTTCTAAGCTAGTTGCCCGAGGGAAGGCTAGTTTATGGCTTTCCTTGGAAACTATGACAGCGGGGCCGCATCAGGGGGAAAGACCGGCGACCATGTGGCAATGGCCAGTGCGCCGGGAGCTGGTGAACTACGGCCTTCGGTCGGTCGCCCTTCACTTGGACAATCTTGGGGCGAGCTCCCACAAACCTACCAGGCCACTTCTCCGAACCCGCGTGAGGCTACCCGACTTCGTCTTCGAGGGGCTACCGGCCTACGACAACAGGGATATTGTAAAGAGCCGCTGCCTACTCCGCCGGCTACAGCAACCGGACGGATGCTGGCTAAACCAGGCACGGAGGCACGGCCGCCGAAGCTTTGCGAAAGCGCAACTGACGCTGGCTACCATGGACCGGTGCTGCTACGACCGCGGTTCCGGATAGGGGAAAGGTGGCACAACGAGCACCGGCTACATCACTTGGATGGACAATATTGCTTGCTCTTTTCAGACAGGTTCATCCCAAGTGTCAGAATCGGCGGTGCTGGTCCCAGGTAGTCCACAAACCTCCCAAGGGCAAGGGACGATACTTTAAATTTTAAGCCACCAGTAAGGATTAAGGATAGGTCGGTGCTGATGGGCTCGTTTCGGGGAGCCTTGCGCGTTCAAAAAAAGTCGCGTGTGGCTGTGGCCTCCCTTCTCTGGAACACACCGTTGCCTGTGTGCACATGCTGACTTTCTTGCGATCGAAGATCGAACCTCTGGGGGCGGACCCTTGTTCGCCGGCACGACAAGGCAACAACATATGCAAAAGTTTGGGAGATGCGCTGCACTGATTGACGTTTCGCATAGCAACTTGCCGAAGCGCAATCGAGTGGCCAGAAACCCGACATCTGCCCAATTTTTGAGTTTCCGTGAATTACATGTTCGGAGGGCCACCAAGAGTTTTCACAGCTGAGCTTTCCAGACGTCGTGGTGAAGCCACGGATTTCGTACGAATGTGTGCAAGTGGCCTTCAACAACCAACCAAAACAAGTGCTTTACCATCTTCCTCATGGTAATGTGACGATGATGAAGCTTTCCAAGCCACGCTGACCCCACAAATCGAACCGTCTGTTTCAATTGTTCAGATTTGGCGGACCATTTTATTTGCATAGCAAAAAAGCACGTCGAAGGTCGACAATGAGACAATTTTTGGAATTTGAGCGACCCATCAACAATTCACGCAGACAAACACCTTCTGAGTGATTCCACTGTCGCCGCATCATTCTGCTTGGCCCATATAATGTTGACAGGCTCGAGTTTTATCACAGGGGTTTGATGTCAATATTAAAGCCGGAAGTGCCATGAGGTGTTGTTTGGTGACAATATTGCCAGCTCTGCATTTGCAATGTTAACGAAGCTTTGTGTTTCGCCAGCTGTCATTGCTCTTAGCAATCTGTTTTCTGCACGGCTGCTTTGTGCAAGCATAGTTTGCAGCAAACTTGAAGTTAGCCAATGCTCCGAAGCAACGTTCAAGTTCATGCGGAAACGTGCAACTCTAGTGTTTTGTGTTTCCTGTGGTCATGACCTGAATACTGACGAACAGGCTTCGTAACAGCATGCTCGTGCTTTGCACCGCGTGGGGATGGCCTGTTCAGAATTCTCGCAGCGGTACTGTCAGGCTTCCTGCTACGTGTATGGGCTGTGCCGGCTCGGCCCGGGACTTCAGCTGGAAAGACGTTTTGAAGGTAAGCTTCAAAATTCGAAGGTATCGAAGCAATCGCTTCACGATGAGCTGGAGGCCGCTGTGTCCGACAACTTCATACTCCTGTCTTTGTGACGGAACAGGAATATAATGTGGGTGGTTCTCTAAATGAGGGTGTTTTTAGTCCCCAAAATAGTACGGCACCCTTATAAAAAGGGACCCCAAAAGGGAGCCTATTTTAGAGAAGTACCCATGAGGGATAATCGGATAGTCAAAACACAGTATGGCTGCTACATCTGAACTGGTCGCTTGTCTGTGAGAGTGCGCTTGTTTGATCAACACAGGCCACAGAGCGGGAATTGGAAACAGAACGCCGAAGGCTCCAGGCACGCCCGGGTCAGACAGCATGGATGAGGTGAACCGCCGTGTTCTGACAGGAGAAAGATTTGCAGATCGCCAGCGTGTCAGAATGTTCAGAGCCCGTATCAAACACTCGCATGTTGAAAGATTCACTGCAGATTGGTAGACTGACGATGGTTTGACATGCGAGGCCTGCAGCGGCAATTGCTGGCTTCGGAACAGGTTGTTGTGCAATTTGCATGGCCATGGGCACTTAGCTCAAATGCCGCCACGCGCAGGAATCTGCAAAATCTCGCTCACTGGAAGACTTGCACTCCGAGTTGCAGGAGACTTTATTTGCAGACAACATTAACAAGTTCGCATGCTTTCTGAGACGGCATTCAGAACGGTATAGACCATAATTTACACCTCATCTTGCAGTTGAACTGAATGTCGCAACTTGAAACATGAAGGCTCCTGATGGATGTACTTTTTGCATGTCCGCAGCAACGTGTGCCGGTTGTCTACCGTGACAGTCGCAGGCCAAGCAGCAAGTACATGCAGAAGCTTTACGTTCCCAGCTCCTTGGTGAAATCGATTTAGTTTCATCACAACTGTAACTTCCGTTGGTGATTCTGATGAAGCTTCATTGTATCATGAAGAGGCATGTTCTGGTTGCAAAAGCCTTGACGAGCTCATTCTGATCAGGAAGGAAAGACTCTGCAGGAACCACGAGGAGGACTAGACACCTCGAACAAGCATCATCGGACTGCAAGGCTATGTTCGTCCGTGTCCCAGCTAGGAGTTGCAAACAACACTCAAGGCTGGCAAGAAAGCTTTCAGTGGTAAGATTCTTTGTGTGACGTTGTTCAGCTTCTAGACGTACTGCTGGATGGAGATGTCCAGAGTTTCACAGGCTCGAGAAGAAGAGCTTTGTCGCAGTCTTGGCGATCAAGAGGAACGTGCTCGAGCAGAGGCAACTGCTGGGGACACTCAAGGGTTTCTGGCAGAAAGAGCTCTGTGGCGGGGCCTCAGGCGGCCAGCCGATATGAAGCAGAAGAAGTGGCATCCAAGCTGTATCAAGCTGAAGCAGAGCGCTGCGTTAGGGATTGTTCGTTGAGGCCAAAGCAGAAGTAGCAGCCAGAATGTCTGAGGCGGGGGCCAGACTGCTGTACCAGTTCAACTGCAATCTTTTTCTGCATCTTTGCATTTGGATCTGGCAGTTGCCATTCGTGATTTGAGGAGTCCATGCAGGCAAATCTCACAATAGCGGACAAACAGGTGCTAGCTAGTGGCTACTGTACTTGGACATCGGAGCACCATCGCCCCGAAGGGCATATCAAAAAAGGCACTTACTGCCTATGCCGTGCCCTGCATGACACAGTGTGACGAGGAAGCTTCAAGCCAAAGGTTCGTAGCAACATAGACTAGATGCGCATTGGGAATTCTGGGGTGGTATCACCGGAAAAGTGCAGAAAGACCTCGAAGCCATGATGAGCAAGTTGCAGGTCGAGGCCGCAGCTCAGAAGCAAGCCCAACGACATCGTGCAGAGGTGGAGGCGAGTCGTGCAAACTCACGGCTTTCAAAGCCTGCACTGTCGACCTGCTGAAAGGCAGCCAGAAGTGAGCTTCACATGCTTAAAAGCCAGGCTACGTGCTGCGATTCCTGCTGTGGTGCTTGCAAAAAGGTTTTTGATCCTTCCTCGGCATTCTGCAGAATCAAGCTTGCATCTTGAACTTGAACTGAGACCATCCCACGAGTCCTGTATCATGGAACAGAATCATTGACCACGAGCACGAGAACACAAGCAAACGGATCCTTGGATACAGTAGTATCCGCAGCCACAGCGTGCAATGCTAACGCTTTTGGCACGCTCTCGGTGGCGCTTCAGCGGGCCAGAAAATGCTTGTGCAGCCAGGCCACGAACACGAATTGCCTGTTCCGTGCAGCTGCACAGAATTGCTCTTGACTTTCAGGCTTCAGCAGCGGTTTTTTGCCAGAGAGCCGGCAGATGGAACTCAAGGCCTGTCATCACACAGCCTGGCTCCAGTGGCACTGTGGCTCCCCACGCGAGACGGTTCTCGGTCTGAGAAAGGCTTCAAGCGCTTCTACGAGCAAGTGCAAGAGTACAAGGCAGACGAAAGCAGGCTCTCGCAGATGTAGCTCGCACGCATGGTTTTCCAGCCTGATCCGCTGCAGTGTCAGCAGGCTACGTGACGGCTGGGCATGGATCGGCTTTGTGGAGCACAAGCTCGAGAAGACAAAGCTCACAGGAACAAAGATTCGAAGGACGGTTTCGTTTCTATAGTGAGCACGGAATGCCGGGTGTTTGAATGAGCCGACTTTAGTGCAGGCCTACCTAAAACCCCAATACCTTTCTTCGACAGCTCCGGCTATCCGGACGTTTGTAGCAGGCATTCAAGCCATGGGCTGCCACATACATGACTTCCAAACCAGCAAGTTTGCAAAGGGTCACAGAAAATTTAAGCAAAGACTAAGACATCAAGAAAGATGTCAGACCGAATACCAACGGAGAGGAAACGGCTTGCAGGATTGTTCAGTGCACAAGGCCATAAAACCAACTAGACGTGATCAATACTGCGCGATGTTCGGGCCAGGACACAAGCAGTTGCACAGTGTGACAATATCAGACGAATATACTACCCAGTGTTACGTACGACTTCACTCAATTGTCACTATGTACAGCACAGTTCTTGCTCTCCGCAACTGCAAGGCTTGGATGAAAATTGCAAAAGACAGGCGGTTACAGTGCGAGTACACAATCACACCCGAAAGAAAGATGGCAAGCAAAGGTCAGCGAATGCGATGGGAAAGGTAGAGGCTCACGAGAGACAGAACATTGGCTTCGGTGGCGAGAGGATGTAGAGTTTCGGGTTGTAGTCCCAGAATTTCTATGATACAATCGCGCCATTGGTTTGGCTTTGGGGCTTAGCTGCTTCTAGATGTCAGTGTAAACCCTCATGATGCGTATTGATGAAGCAAGTGCAGTGGGTGCTCGTTGATGGAGGGTACTTGGCCCTCTCAGGAAGCTGCGGTATCCGAATGATGCGGAGGGGCAGGCGAAGAAAGCCGAGCAGCAAAAGTATTGGCAAGACATCAAGGTCGTGTAGATGCGAAAGATTTGCTTCCTCGTTCTTCTATGAATGTCCTTGTGGTGGCAAGACATGGGCAATAGCGGCTTGCAGTGCAGGACGCGTGAGCTGCTCCGGTCCACGAGAGTGACTCTGTGCGAGCTTAAGTGTCTTCTTTTCGAAGGCCGTCGCCAGTACTGTCGTAGCATCCAGCTGTTTCACATTGGTTCACAGCGTCTAATCGCCGAGAAAAGCGTGGCCGGCATGCTTCGATTTGCATGCTCATGTGGTCAGTTGCATGTAGCGTCTTGCACACATGTCGGTGTTCATTACACGCTAGTGCCGCTAGTGTGCAGGTTGCTCCTCTCCGGGCGGAGCATGTTGAGGTGCCTTGTTGCTTTGCAGTCTCCTGCACTTCCACGCGCGCGCAGAGCTCGACATTGCTCGAGGCTACGGAGATGTTGCGGGAAGCCCGAAAGTCTCTCAAATCGGAGCAGGAGTTCACAAATTGTCTCAGAAGAAACACATGTCTGCTCGCAGATGCCTTCGACGTGATTTCTGGGTGGTACTTGTGAATTGCTTGTGCTGATCTTGGCTTCATCTGCAAGCATCGAAGGAGGAACGTGCATCTGGCAGACACGCGGACGACCTAGTTTGCCACGAATTGATTGCGCGGACCAAGATGGCGTAGCGGTCATGCTTGCGGCCGCTGCACGTGGCAGATCACGCCCCTTTTGCCAGATGACTGCAAAAGGCGAGGCAAAAAGCTGAAGTGAAGCCTTGCGAACATGTTTAGGCGACGGCTTTGGAGGATCGCTTGGCAGAGGCTTTACCTCGCAGAGAGAGCTGCAGGTGGTTGGAGTTTCTTCAACATGTCGCCAGGCCCATCGTGAGCACGAGCGTGCTGAGCAACGGCATGGTGACGTGACTTCGCCATGAACTCGGTGTATTGTGTGGAAGTGCATTGCTTCACAGGACTGCGAAGGCTTGGGGTAGGAACAAACAGTCGGAGAAGGCTCCAATAATGGAGTAAACTTCCAACTTTGTTGTTGGACTGTAGGACTCTACATGCACGCGATTGGGCTGCCTAGTAATTGTAGCCGCGTCGAGATTTGCTCTGAGCCTGGCTTCGCGCGAATCCATTATTTCAGGAGCATGTCCCCACACACTCTTATCAAATATGTCCACACACTGTGTCAAAATTCAACCACGGTGGGTTTCAGAGACCCACAGGAACTCAACAGAAGTGATGGTTAATTTCCTGACTCGTTGCAGGTTTTCATTGTACACTATTTTGTGCTGTCGCTGAGAGTAGGTATCCGCATCGCATCCCGCAGTTTTGGTTGTGCATTTAGGATGCGCCTAGCTTGTCATATAGGGTTTGGCTTTTCGCATTAGCCATGTCTTTCGCGGCATGAGCGCTTCGAGAAGATCCCACTCAGGAACCAATCGTTAGTTTGTGGGGGACGTTTGTTATGCCTTGGGGTTTTTGCCTTTAGATTTGGGTTTACTGCCCCATGCGCGTGAGGTGTAGGATAGCTCTCGCACCCAACATGTGCTTATCGTCTTATTTTCAAGGCGCCTATCGTAGTCTCGGCTTTAACATGTCTCATCATGTTTCAGAAACCACATTCCTTTTCAGGATAATGGCTTTGGAAAAGATTGCTTTGGGGTTTAAGGTTTCTTGCTTCATTGTCGCAGGTTTAGGGTTTAGGGATTCGGATCCCACAGTCGGCTTCACACCCTTTGGTTGCTTAGGGCTGAGTTGCAGATCACATGGCTGGTAATCCAGAGATGTGCCCCTTCGCAACGTGTGGACATCTGCACCTGCAGACCTGACAGTCTGATGGGATGTTCCAGAGGTCTCCGGTTGCAACATGGGAAAGCCGCCGTCTCGCGCTGTTGCTCAAGCACAGAGAATCGTAAGAAGCAAGGTCGAGTAAGGTAAGCATCGGGAGTTGACCATCTCCCGCATCGGTCTGATAGAGTGCGGAATGACATCTAGGCCCATGTACGTAGAACCTCCAGCATAAGTTGTGGCAAAGCAGGATGTCAGTCGAGGTTGGAAGGTCAGGTGGGGGGAAATTAGGGAGAGCCCATCTTCCACTGATGATTTGATCGTAGCGGTGGCATTGAATATCGACCTGGATTTGACGGTCAGGCGCAGGTGCTAATCTTCAGTCAGCATGGCAACACCAAGGATCAAACCAAGCAACCATGTTTCCCAACCGACCAAATCAAGATATCAACAAGCAAGGATTCTGTTTGAGGCGAGGCGGTGGCCTAGAGCCTAGGTTGAGGGCAAGATTAGGGATCCCGACCAACCGGCAAGGATTCTGTTTGAGGCGACGCGGTGCCTACAGCCTAGTTTGAGGGCAAGATTAAGGATCCCGACCAACAAGCAAGGATTCTGTTTGAGGCGAGGCGGTGCCTACAGCTTAGCTTGAGGGCAAGAGTAAGGATCCCGACCAACCAACGATTGCAAATCAAAATGCAAGCAACTGAAGTTCAAGAATCCGAGTAACCAATCATATAGCATACAGAACCATGCAAGCAAGGATCAACCCAAAGAAGCATGTTTTCCCTGAGGCCGTCGCAAGTGCGATCCAAGAAATCGACCAAAATGCATGATCCTGCGGGCAGCACAAGCAAGCAAGGATCATGATGCCATGAGTTCCTATGACTTTGCCCATGTCTGTGGACCTTCGACGTGGCTCACACTCCGTCCTGCCGCCCGCACTTCTCGCTTAGTCACAACAACAATAACCAAACTTGGCACGCTTTGGCGATGGGCTCGCGGAGGACGAAGCGGAACTGAGCGTGTAGTGCGGTGCCGCGTAGAGTGGTGTTGGGTATTCCGGCGTTCGCGGCGCACAGTGGCCAAAGGGGCCAAGGGCTCCGGGACTCCTGAGTTCGGGATTTAAGGTTTAGGGTTTAGGGATTTAAGGCTTAGGGTTTAACCAGCCGAAGCACCCAGGTGGCGTCGTTGGCACCCGCCTCGTGAGTTCTTGTACAGGGTTTAGGGTTGGGGGTTTAGGGGTTTAAGGTTTAGGGTTTAACCAGACGAGCCACCCAAGCTCTGGAGGCGTCACTGGCACCCGCCTCGTGGGGTCTTGTATAAGGTTTAGGGTTGGGGGTTTAGGGGTTTAAGGTTTAGGGTTTAACCAGCTGTCGTTGGCACCCGCATCCTGAGTTCTAATTTATTTGGGTTTAGGGTTTAGGGTTTAAGGTTTAAACCAGCCGAGGCACCCAAGCTGTGGAGGCGTCACTGGTACCCACCCGCCTCGTGAGATCTTGTATAGGGTTTAGGGTTGGGGGTTTAGGGGTTTAAGGTTTAGGGTTTAACCAGCTGAAGCACCCAAAGGCTCCGAGCCGTCTCTGGGATTTGCATCCTGAGTTTTTGAGTTACTTTTTTGGGCTTAGGGTGTAAGGGTTTATGGTTTAGGGTTTAACCAGCCAAAGCAGCAGCGGCGTGCCGGGCATTGGAAGTGTCATCAGTTTATTTATTTATTTTTATGCGGGGGGTGTAGGGTTTTAGGGTTTAGGGGTTGGAGGTTTAGGGTTTAACCAGCCAAAGCAGCAGCGGCGTGCCGGGCATTGGAAGTGTCATCAGTTTTTTAGGAGTTTAGGGGTTTAGGGTTTAGGGGTTGGAGGTTTAGGGTTTAAGCAGCCGAAGCACCCCCATGCCATTGGCGTGCTTGGCATTGTAGGTGTCCTCAGTTTTTTTCTTTTTTTTGTGGGGTGCTTAGGGTTTAGGGGCTTAAGGTTTAGGGTTTAACCAGCCAAAGCAGCAGCGGCGTGCGGGTCAGTGAGAGTGTCCTCAGTTTTTTGTTTTTGGTGGGGTGTTGAGGGTTTAGGGTTTAGGGGTTTAAGAGGTTTAGGGTTTAAGCAGCCGAAGCACCCCGCGGTCAATGGCATTTTTTGTGGGTTTTGGGTTTCGGGATTAGAGGTTCACCAGCCAAAGCACGTCCAGTCCTCATCCGCTGTGCTTGGAGCAGGTTGCGTCCTCAGTTTTTTTTGGTTCAGGGTTTAGGGTTTAGGGCTCAGGGGTTTTAGGTATAGGGTTGATACCCAGCCGAAGCACCCCTCGAACAGCTCCGTCGGCGTCGTGGGCGGGAACCAAATCCTAGGGTTTGAATTTCCTTAGACCCTAAACCCTAATGTCATCGGCCAAATGCACTCTGTTCTGAAGTCCACAATCGAGTTACGGCGTCCCGCGACGCGACAGCGTCGACGAGGCCGTCCATGTCCTTAGTTTTTGCTATAAACAAAGTGTATGGGTCAAGATACGGTCTGAAAGGGTTTAATGCAGGCCAACGTAGCCTGGAAGACGGCGTCTGCGGGATCACCTGCAGGATATCTGTATTAACTGTACATGAATAAAACTCTTATAATAATCTGCCAAGGAACGACCCCGGGCTCGGGCATGGCGGCGGCAGGGACAAGGTCCTGCAGGCTTGTAGGAAACTAATGAATAGAGTAGGTTTTTGGAGTGCTGAACAATCTGCCAAGGAACGAAAGCGTGGAGCCCGGGCTCACGGCCGCCACCGGGCGCTGCAAAGGAAAAGACCTAAGAATGTTGGGGAGCACAGCTTTAGATAAGGAACACCCAAAAATTATTCATGAAAGGCTCGATCCCGGGCTCGTCAAAACCCGGCGCTGCTCGATGGGGAGCATGGCGGCGAGGCGGTGCCTACTAGCCTTATATATGATCATTGTGTGTTTGCGCTTATGCGCTCTCATGATCATGAGCATGCGTGCTTGGGGCCGATAATTCAGAGACATGGGTTCATGGGACACAGACACAGAGTGGTCGTCTACGAAGCGGTCCTTCCGCCGACGTCGATCGCGATCATCCGTAGCAAAAGGTACCTGCGGCGTTGGAAGTGTGGATCGAACCATTAAGAGAGCACATGCCGGGGCACACTCGTGAATCAGCCAGAGGAAGCGCATGGCGGGGGCAACCAGGGGTTCGAGCATAGGAACATGATTTGAAAACAGCAGTGCGCAGTGCCTAGCGACCTCAGCCTGGTTCCGGAATTATTTAGTGCGTTGGTGGCTGGTTCTGCTTGAAGCGAGGCGGTGCCTACAGCCTTGAGACCGTGTGCTCTGTTTGAGGCGAGGCGGTGCCTACAGCCTTGAAACCGTGTGCTTTGTTTGAAGGGAGACGGTGCCTACAGCCTTCATATCGTGTGCTCTGTTTGAGTCGATCGAGGTGACAGCTGCTTGCGCGCAATCAGCCAAGCATGAGCACGCGTGATCGACTCAAACAAAATGTTTTGATTGCTCCAGACTGCACGATGAAAGGCCCTCCACACTGTTGAGCGCACTATCCCAGCAGATCTGTCTCACCTCGTCGACATCTGCGTCCTCTTCAGCTCGAGGCGATCGCGGCTTTGCGTCTTCTTGCGGCTGCGGCACCCGTCTCGCGACACCACGGGCCATCTGCCGTCCTCGGTTCCTTAGAGTTGGCAGGCCTGACAACAAGACTTGCATAGTCAGCCGCTTCATGTCGTGAACACGTCGGTGCATGTGCCAAAGAATCCTAACCATCCACCGCTTCCAGCTACCGAGAGCGCTTTCCATTGGATCGAGCTCCCAGCACCAGAGTTTGAGATAGTAGTGGCTGGTATTGCCAAGCACGATCGGGCAAGCTCAAGGCACCGGATGCCAGGGCAGTTGGGATCGAGGCCTGCTAGAGCATGCTAGATCCGACTCGTTTTTTAAAGCTCGTGCGGGACCACTGTCAAAACTGATGTTCTATATAGAGCATCGAAGCTTCCTGAGAAGGCCTAACGAAAACGACTTGTTTTTCTCGTCAACCGAGACGGTGATGTCAGCTTCCTGAGTCTTCGAAGCAGCTTGGAGACCACTGGGCTCGTGGGTGGCGATGCCAGGACCCTTAAGGCACGACATCCGGTGATTTTGGGCCAGGAGTTTGGGGTTTCGAGTGGATTTAGTTGAGGTTAGGGTTCGGGATTTGGGTTCAAGGTTCGACCCAGCACATCCTTCGAAATTTTCTCAGCACCAGCCGCCTTCGAGACTGTCTCGGGCAAAATTTCCTGCAACATTCACAAGCAAGCTTGTGAGGCCTCGGCTTGAAAATCATGTAATAAACGGCCAGCACTCTCACAGTGCCAGCCAGGGCCATTTCACACTGCCCATAAGGTTAAGAGGCTCTAAAAGCAGATCATATATTTAACGACCAGCACTCTCACAGTGCCAGCCAGGGCCCTTTCACAGTGCCCATAAGATTAAGAGGCTCTAAAAGCAACAAATGGTGCCGAAACGACCAAACACAGCAAGCCTTCAAGCAATCAGTCGCAATCAACCAAGCACAACGCCCGACCGACCGAATCAAAAAAACAACAAATGTCACCGATTCGACCAAGCGAACAAGCACAGCAAGCATTCAAGCAATCAGTCGCAATCAACCAAGCACAACCGACCGACCGACCGAAACCCATCGGTTAATTCTACATCCCAGCGCTTATTTGATATGCCAGCGGTTAATTCCACATCCCAGCGGTTAATTCCACATCCCAGCGGTTAATTTAACATCCCAGCGGTTAATTCCACATCCAAGCGGTTAATTCCACATCCCAGTGGTTACTTCAACATCCCAGTGGTTAAAGAACCGACGTGACGCGTTGCCAACTGTCCCATCGGCTATAAACCGACGTAGGGCTCTCCAGGCAACAACTACAGATAGTGGCCCCGCGCACAACAACCTCTTGGGGGACATCCGGGGGCAGCTGCCGTCCCAGTGCCCAAGCCCAATGTCAAGTGGACGTCCGATGGCGTTCCTGCACTCCATTCTCTTTTTTCGCGAGCGGCGGAGGAGCAATTGTAGGATACTTTTTCCTGACTAAGTAGGGTTTCCCCTGCGGTGGTCGGAAACTTTACCCAAGTCCTGCCATCGTCTGAGTGGTAGGAGTATCAGTAGCAGTAGCAGGAGCAGTAGCATTAGCAGTAACAGTAGCGGTAGCAGGAGGAGTAGCGGCAGCAGCAGTAGCAGTAGTAGTAGCAGTAGTAGTCGTCGTCGTAGTAGAAAACTTGACTACAGTTTGTATTCGGAACATGTGTTAGTGATGAAACGGAGGTCTGCCCATCATCCGGCCATCCTGGTTACCTGTCTCATGCATTCAGGTTTTTCAAGGTTCAGCTGCGAGACTTGCATGAAGAGCTCCAGACACGTGCAGAGGAGGGCAAATCGAGACGAATATAGTTGCACCGTTCGAATCTCTACAGCATCGGACAGGATTTGCGAGAGCGAGATGCAGTTGTCCTTCGCAGAGACCAGGTGCCTACATGTGCCGCGGTTTGGAGTCTTCGGAACAGTTGTCGTAGGAGCTGGATGAAGTTAACGGCCAGCTAAAGGATTTGCAGGCAGGCCGAGCCAGCCGCAGAGTGCAAGATTCAAATCGATTACACATACCATGACTTGATCCGGTCCAGGGCCTTTTCGACGAAGTGAATGGGCAGCTTCAGCACGAGTCGACGTCCAATTAGTTTTTCTCGGTGGCCTTTCTCGTGCAATTAATGTTTTGTCGGCAGATTTGTTTGACAGTGCTGCTTAGATGTGGGCGCATCGAGCGTCTGCAAGGTGTTCCAATCTCAGTTGAGTGCTTGATGCTGTTTTCTTCTTGGGCAGTCATCATATGACCCAGGCGGTCACACAGTGTGCGAAGCAAGCCAAAGAATTGGACTCCTTGCAGAACATGCTGGAGGTCTGGGCATAGTACTGTCAGCCTAGTTGTCCTGGCCTTCAGGTCGGGGCTTTGTTGTTCCTACTTGCAATCGTTGCGTAAGTGCTAGACACCGTGGAACGGCGGTGGTTTCGAAACTGCACCAAAGCGCATCGAGGCAGGAATTAAGGTGACTTCGAGTGATCTAAGAAGCCAGAGCAAGGACGATCTCCACCCAAAAACACTTGAAAGACCGTACGGCGCTGTGGCGGAAGCCTGATTCGTCAATACAGAAGTATTGCAATGTACCATGAACCGTGTGTGCATAGATGCCCAAGCCTGACTGTGAAAAGAAGATCAGGTTTAAGTCGAACGGGTACACCGTCGAGTGTTCCTGCCGCGCCCTGTTTCTCCTGACGTAAGAACCTTTGGTGCCACATATGCAAGGTGGGTCGTTTCTGTGGCAGGTATGCTGAGGCTATGCAGATGGAACTTCTGGCCGAAATCGAAGATAGTGCCCCGTGTGTATTTGGGGGTGCGCAGTCTTCACGCCACAGTCCGTTGCACGTCCGCCGCCCGAAATCGTGTTCGCACCTCCGAAAATCGTGCTTCGTTTGCAGTTCTCTGCAAACATTTTGAGGCGGCAATCCTGCTCCGGCGACAGTTGCGGTGCGCATTTTTGACACATGGGCTGGTCTTGGGAGAGGTGCTCTAGGTTCTCGCGATTATAAGCTTCTGAAAGCTAGGTGCCCCTTTTACTGTTAGAGGTCTGCACTGGCAGAATCTGTCAGGCATGCATGCCAGTGCAAGATCGACTTGATGCGATTGTAAACGCCGCGAGAAGCCCTTGCGTGGGCAGGGTGTCTTTCGCAGAGATAGCTGAACACATCACGGGGGCATTTGAGAGTTTCGGCTGTGGTGTGGGTTCTGGCTACGAGTAGGGTCTAGAGTGTCAGCGGTTCAGATGTAAAATGTTCCTGCTCGATTTGTCGCACAGCTTACCGATCGCTAGAGCGCCAGCATCCAGCACCAGTTGCACCAACTCGCAGGAATCCCATCGCATGCTCGCGCAGCTGCGTGAAACTCTCGAGAAGGCCAGTGCATGTGAGTTTCCTGCCCCAATGCCATTTTGAGACACCTCACGTTCGAGCACAGGAAAGAGCCGAGCGGATGAGGGTAGCGTCACTCCTGGAGCATGAGCAGCAAAGGCAGGGCTAGTCCGATCCATAGCAGTCAGTCATGAGTCTCTGTCTCTTGTGCGCTCGAAGGACGCAACTGCTGCTGGACGTTCTGAAGCATTTCAAGGACATCACGTCCTCATGTGAGATGACCGGTGCAGTGGCTGTGCACTTCCTCTCCGCAGGAGAAGCTTCAGGGTCTCACTCCGCAGATGCTGCTTAGTTGGATGCCCAGGAGAGGGGCGAAGGAGCGTTTTCGGCAATCTGGGAATATCTGGGATCAGTGAGGTCGGCTCGGCGTCAGCGATCCGAAGGCTGGGCAGAGCATACGACAGCCCAGCTCCGGCACACGAAGAGCAAAGCGCGACAGAGGCGTTGCTGTCAAGCCCAACGCTCTCAGCTTAGCCGGGTTTGGATGAAGCGCATCTACCTCGCGAAACTTCTTGCTGAGGCTGAACAAGTTGATCAGCGAAGCATCATCGGATCTAGCACCTGTTCTCAATGGCCTGGAGAGCTCCAGCATGCCGGACGGGAAGTCTTCTCTGAGAGCTCCACGTGGTTCTGTGTCGCCGTGGGGTCGGCTTCTCGAAGCGAAGCTTTGAAACGGCCATGCTGCACCCGACATGTCCTGAGGTTTACCAGGAGGTCCAGGTCTTGCATGCCGTGGCGCTGTGCCGAACTTAGAGGAGCCGAGCTGCCGAGCCATGCCGAGCCAAGACTCGCCAAGATTCTCTTGAAGAAGCGACAGCTGTCGCGACTGGCGAGTGTCAGGCGGAATCGCCCTGGCGAGCTCCCACAGCAGCCTTTGAGGCACCGGATAGACTGAGATTAGTGAGTCCGCGAACCAGGGTAGAGGCCGAATCCGCTCAAAGCTAACCTAGGGAGTGACGTCAGGAGGCTCGGAGTCCAAACAAGAAGCCGATAACTGAAATAACTGCCTGAAAATACGAGCTACGTTCCCAGAAGCAAGACATGGCAAGTTCGACAACGAGGGTACTGCCGGAGCGTGGCACAGCGTGGCTCTCGTAGCTTTTAACGTGAAGCTCGGCTTGGGTAGCGATTCGTGAGGAACTGCGAGGTCCTGAGGTTTCCTCAGTTAGGACCCCCTTCGCCCCTTTTGGGCTATGGCACCACCCACCCCCCCATTGATTAGCCCAATACTTGATCACACTCTAGAACCCCAATACTCCTATCTACCTAAGTGCCATAGCTCAAACTGGGCAAGGGGGGTCTTATAGAATTGTGGTTCAGGGTTTAGAGTTAAGTGTTGTAACTCTAATGTAATTATAATACATAACTGCTTATGTATGTAAGTTATAACTATGCAGTTACTGGTTTCAACTGCGGTGCATTGTTAGAGTGCTTTTGACCACATATGAGGCACGTAGCTGGAACGGCAAGTGTTACAGCACTAGTGTTGCTTGCCGGTTATGTCTCTGATCTTTTCTGGTTTGGGAACATCCTTCTCAAAATCTGGATCTGTTAGCTCCTGCAAAAATACGGATGTGTTTGTGACTTTTCGTGTTGGGCTTGTTTGTATTTCTTTATTTCGTAATTACAAGCAGTACACGTGACAACCTCGTCTTGCGGTAGAGCAGCAGCATCTTGATGGAGAGGTCGTGCAGTACATTTTCACCCACCAAACAGTCTGAGCAGCGCAAAATCGAACGCCGAGGCCTTCCAGCCCACATCTCTAAGTGTAGCTCCATGTTGTTGGCCACCTTCGCCCAGAACCTAGACCCTCAAATTGAATAGGAACCCTGTTGCCCAGCCTCGTCAAATTTCTAGTTCGGTGTCCATACGGGTTTTGTGGCTTGGATTGCTTGCGCAGCACACCAGGCACCTCCGGAGCCCTGTGTGCCTGTCTCGCAAAGGTCCTGAGCTCATCTGCTTTTTGCTTTTACGAGCATTCCCCGGACCAAAATCCGTATGAGGCAGCTTCGACCCACGGGGGCTAGCGCAGCCCCACAAACTGGCGTTGCACGTGGAGAATCATAGACCAAGAGCCGGCTGATGGAGGCGTCAACAGCTAGCCGATGGAGGGTGGGTGCGCTCCAACAGCCGCGCAGTAGTTTCACGCTGTACAGTACGACTAGGAGATGTGCATATCGCTTAGTTGAATTAGGTGCTGTTGGGCCCGAAAGGTCTCTAATTTGGAAGGGGCTTTCGCAAGCTGCTCGTGTCACAGTTCCAAAAGAAAGATGTGGATTATCCAAGTTGTTCGACATCCCGCCACGGATCTGTACTAGGCTGAAGAAGCTCTTGCACAAGTTTTGCTTTGCAGGTTGTGGTTGAGGAGCAGACTGCGCAATCTGCGGTAAGGATAATGCTGCGGTGCGAATGCCTTTCCAGAACTCACCGCTGCCCTGGGCCATTTATGACTCCTGCAAAGAACTCGTGCCTAGGGCCCAGGAATTTCTGCAATCTTGTTCTCGCACGAACATGTACATGTTGCACGGCCAAAAATTTCCGCCTGTTTCACGTTTGCTTTGTCAAGCTTGCGCGTCAGCGCGCTATAGTGTCACGATTCAGAAGGCACAGATCCACAAGACTGCGACAGCCCTGAATTTGCAGAACCTCTCGCAAGTGCTAAGCTTTAGGAGCTTGCTTCTTTCCTCTCTGCGCCCTTGGGCGTGCAGAGGGCTTGTGTTCCATGTTGCCGAGCACTCAGACGAGTCCCGTGGGGCGAAGCTGTACCGTGCAAGTTCAATGGACTGCTCTGTGCGTACCGGGAGCGAGCGAAAGACGGAGAGAGGGAGGAAGCGAGTGAGTTGAGATCACAATGATGTTTTTTTTCGCAGATGTTCTGCTCCCCGCCTCGATCACAGTTTTCGTGAGGATAGAGCAGGGCAGAGAGAGAGCTACAGAGAGAGGTAGCCATTTTGGTTCAAGTGCCGCGCCCTCTGCTTGGAGGGTTGTTAGCCACTTTGCTCCAGTGGCCCAATCCGCCCTAGGAACTCGTGCCATACTCAAGGAGGGGAAGTTGTGCTATCTACTCCTTTGTGTGCGACCTCGCAACTGCAAGATCTTCACCTCCGTGGTCCTAGCGAAGGGGACTAAGACCCCTTCTTCTCGAAGGACTTTGGGATTGCGCAGCCGCTGTTCACACTGTACCTCCTGACTGGACGGGGGAGTACCACTTTTCAGTGTTCGTGACTTGGGCAAGACCGGCGACATCGTGACGATCACCCATGGAGGGGAGATGCAGCATTTGCAGGTACGGAGGGGGGACCTGTGTCATTGGCTTCAGGAAAACACACGATAGATGTGATCCTCAATGCAGTCTCCACATGGTTACCACCAAAGCCAATGTACCTCCAGAGGATCCCCGCAAGGTGGGGGGACACCTGCCACACAATCGCCCACACAGGGAGAAGGACACCACAGGCCGCCGAAAGGGATGCAGTGCGAAGGCAACCACTGTCTCAACTCGACCGCTCGCTGAGATGACCGCCTTCGCGACGCGAAAAGGTCTTACTTTGCTCTATGAACCGGAACCACTCGACGAGTGGATTGGGAAGGACGTGCAAGAAGATGACAAAGGACGACTTCGAGACATGGAGACCGGGGGGATTCTCCCACAAGCACGTGCAAACAATTACAAAGCCTTCCAAAGACGACACCGAGAACGCAATGAGGTGGGGAGACTAGCGGATAAGCTGACCCACATCGTCGACAAGTACCTGCCCATGCAAGCCGAAGAAACAAGAATATATGTGGGGCGCTTTCCTAATCATGTCGGAAAGCTGCCGCCAAGCCAGGCGCATCCGTGACAAGTAGCGCAAAAAACGGGGGGGGGGGACAAGACCCCACAACACATCAAGCCCGAGGAGAACAAGCTACAGCAGGACGTGCACACACGGGGGAGCCCTAGCCAACCACCTTTTGGGCAGACAGAGCATGTGACAAAAGGAAGCAGTAATGCACAGGAGCATCACGGGAGAAGTGCGAACCCAACCACGGACGACGACAGCCCTCCAAACTGGGGGGGGGGAGCAGTGAAGCCGAGGAAGAAGGAAGCGCACGGGGGGCGCAAGGACGGCACTCAGACTATGGGCACAGCGTTGGTGTGCGTGCCCAACGCCCCAACGAACCTGGCGGGGGACCTCGCCGTACCGAGCTCCACACCGGGTTTAATAGTCAAGGCCAAAGTGAAGGACGGGGAGTGCACTTGGTCCCGAGCGACATGTGGTGGCAGAACGTCCAGCAAGTGCAGCAACACATGGCGCGAGCACGTGAAGAACAGAGGAGCAGGCGACAATGAAGGAGGGGATTTTCCCTGAACTTTTGGCTTGCCGGCGGAGCCAATCACCACCCTGGACAGCAGTTCACGCTCTGGGAAAAAGTTCGACGATGTCTTCTGAGCAAGGGGGGCTTCTGAGAGGTTGCATAGGAAGTGAACGGATAATCCGTGATGCATGGTACGTTTCGGTGCGAACTCTTTAATACAAGCAAAACATTTGCTTCCTCAGGTAAACCTTCATTCCTAGGCCCAACCTGGCCACACAATCCTCGTTTCTTTTTAACACACCGTTCCAATTCGCTCGTATCTGACTGCACATGGGGGATGCATTTACTTCATATGTGTTGTTACCTGATCTTACTATCTACGAACCTCGCCAGTCTTTTCAAACCTTTCTGTCCAGCCGAGCCTCCTTTCGATCAATGCTCGAAGGGGGAGAGTCAGACACCCGGTGCAGTGCGGGTGCGCGTTCGTGCGCAGGGCGCACGGCTGGACCGCCCTGTGTCTTTGTCCCTGTAGAGAGAGAGAGAGAGTGTGGGAGGTGTAACGCCTTCTGTGCAACGAGAACCACTGGAGGGACAACGCCGGCAACACCTCCTAGCAAGAGAACGCAGTCGTACGGGTGGGCTTGGGCTTGATGCCTGTGAGGCTTGAAATGCCAGCCTGGGAAAGAAAGGGAGACAGAGAAAGAGAACGCAACCCTGCCGACTGTTTCCTTCCCCCGAAAGCCCAGAAATTGGGGGGCCCATAGGGGTCGGGGCTTGAGACGCCCCTGAAGCCCGAAGGAAGAAGGAAAGAAGAAGAAGGCAAAAGAGACGGAGCGGATTGCAGAGTGTTGCGCATGCTCAGTAAATGGTTGACTGGAGACCGAGATAAAGGCAATCGAGCCGGGATCTCGGATCTATGCAAATAAACTAAAATTTCTTCTGCCCAGCTGTGGACCCTCTTCGGTCGTGAAATGTTTGGTACTCTGCCAGGTCTTTGCCTCAGTGGCAGATGGTCTCCAGGCCCTGCAACATCCCGCTCTCTTGTCGCAGAAACGCTCGTGTACACCTTCTTCGTTTGTGCTGCGTTTCTGAAGGTGCTCTACAAAGACAGGTTGCTCCCAGTGGAGAAGGATTTCGGGAATTTTCGGGACGAGCAATTCGGTTCATATCATCTAAGCTGCTATGCTTCCATACTACTGCATCCATGCGGCAGGACTTCAGCTTTCCGCACTTCTTCTCACCTGAGTTGACAGATGCAGATTTCTCTGCACGACCTATGGTATGTGCCTGAAATTGACGGTGATATGCCATTTGCAACTCTAGATTGCAAACGACGACCTTACACCGCGTTGGCCTGGGCTGAGGTCATGCTCACCGGCCAGTACTCGACTGGCAAGAGTGTTTTGGCATCACGAAATGCAACTACCACCCCCCTCATGCATTCACTTGCAGGCTGTGCTTAAGCAGATGGCAAATGGTCTCCTGCGTCATGCTATGTCTTGGAATCCAAGGCACTTTCATCCGGCACCTGCTAGGGCACGCTGCCTTGTTTTGCTTCATGGCTTCGGCTCAGCTGCTGAACCACAAGCTTGCTTGCAGTGCACGGTCAGCTGCGCAACCAAGTGGTGTTTCAGAGTTTGTCGCACTCGGTGGCATGAGGGCGCAGCATGAAATTTCTTCTTAACATCGTTGATTGTAGCCAGCGAGGCGGGACTACCCCGGATTGCGAATCGGCCCAGAGCCAACGACCGACAAATTCGTCGCTGTCTGCAAAGGCGATATGGATCAGGCACGCTGCCTCAGCTGATTTACAGTGTCTCTGCTTGCACATGATGCCAGTGCTCGGTCGTCGCTTGCGAGCCCGCTCTCACTCTGCTCTCCGGAGGTTCTCTAGCCGCCTCCCCCAAACGCTCGGAGGTCATTCCAGGGAATGCCTTGGTTGTGGACAAGTCCATGCCGTTCACGCAGCTGAGCCACTTCGGTCACCAAGCTGCAACGTGTTCAGTGGCATCGACTTGATGTCCACAGATTCTCTGGAAAAGCACGGAGAGCGATGGCTTTCGATGGCACCCATTGCGAGGCAACAACTTTCTTACGCGTTTCGAATGCGCGAAGCTTGACAGTCCTGTTCTGAACGGGATGTCCCTCATCGACACAGTCTGCCTGGCTGGAGTTGAGTAAGCTCAGGAGCAGAAAGGGCTCAAGCATGCTCGTTTCTTGAAGCAAGCGTGTTGTTTTGTGCCGCATGTCGCCTTGCCTGTCGCCTTACCTTGCCTTTTTTTTGCAGCCTGGTGTTCTGTCTGGCGAGAAGCAGCGCTTGAAGCGTCGGAGCCTCAAGGCCGAGGCTCCCTCGCCGGTGTTCCCATGAGTTTTCGAATGTTTAGAGACGGCCATGACGGGAACACGTAAGGTGGATACGAGTTCGAGGCAGGAGCTCTGTGAGCTGTTGCGCAGCATTGGACGCATTGAACTGCTTGGCGACCCTTCAGAGGACTTCGATAACGAAAGGCATTTTGCTCGCAGCATTGCCAATGACATAATACGAGCACGGAGCTACGGAGTAGTGAAGGCAAAATCAGCTCTGAGCAGAAGCTGACCCAACGCACCCTCCATGAGCGGCTTCCAAAAGTCCCCAAGAAGTGCCATTCTTCCTCCGTCGTGCACCGCAGCAGGGAGACTCCAGCCCAGAACGAAGCACTACGAGAAGCCACTTGCTGCGCGCCCTTTTCGCGCCAAGTTGCAGCAACAGTACACCAAGCCATCAGCCACATCAAGCACGCAGGTTTAGAGAACAACGGTAGCAAGCTGGTTTGCCCGATACTGATCTGCGCAGAGTGCTGCGTCCGAAGCTTGGTTACGTGCAGAGTAAGACTCATGTAGTGTTGTTGAGGGCGATGCAGGAAAGCCTGGGAAAGCGGTTGCAAGGCTAGCTCTGAAGTGCAGCATTCAAGTAGGATCCATGACCTTCATGCAGTCAATAGCGAGCAACACTTATTGTAGGGGGTGCATCAGTTGCACCGGCATCATTTTCATGCTTGGAGCATGCTGTGCGTTGCTTGCTGAGGCAATCGATGATGGCTTCCACTGTCCTTGTTTCTTGGCTGGATGGGTTCAAAACGAATGTCATCCGAAAACTGCATAAATAGGTAGTTGACAACAGGTCCTCGAGGCAAAATTTCTATGAAAGGCCAACTCCATAGCTAGGTGAGATGCCTCGCAAAGTGCCTTCGTGCTGCCGCAAACATAAACATGTTTTGGGCGAAAGTTGTCTACTCACTGATAAATTTACTAGTACTACTACTGCTGCTACTA